CGAGCTCTCGAAAGCGGGCAGTGGCCAGAGCTCCAGTGCTTTGGCAACGAGGAAGGCTTTGTCGGGAAGAGGTGATACTCTGGGTTATCAAAAGGGTAAATTAGTAGCACACCATCTGACAGTAGTGGGTGCTGGTGCTTTACAAGAGGAGCCAGATCAGGGGCGAGAGGAGGAAGAGAAGCTTCAGGAGCAACAGAAGCAGTGGGAGCTGGAGGAAAAAAGGGGCCGGAAAAGACAGCGGAGCAGCAGCTAGTTTCCGGAGAGTTGCGTGAGGTGATACAATAGGAGTTGCCCTACCGCTGGGCGAATTAGAGTTTGCGGAATTACTCAGTTGGTAGAGACTCAATAGATCTTGACTGTTTGCTGGAAATATATTAGATGTCACAACTTGCTTGTTTGGTAGTGAGGATTGAAAGTATGCAAAACAAGCGCTTGGAGCTTACAGTACGTTGATGAAGCTCTCTTCCTGCCAACATAGTCTACATCTAAGCGTGCACGGCACTATATAAAAGACACACTGTGGCCTTCTCAGAAGGACGAAGGATTGACGAAAGGAATGGGAAAAGAAAAGACGGAGGGAAGACTCCTGATTCGTCCTCCTCGTCTGCATTCGAATCGCTCATTCTCGAAATGCTCACGAGCGGGGAGAGCCCAGATGAAAACAAGAGCAATGGGAGTGACGTAAATAAGAATGAGGATGAGGACGAGGAGTATGATACGACATTAATCCCCCAGTTGAGAGAGAAGAACAAGAAGTGTCTACGGTGTAGACGCGGAAGGGTTTTCTGCGTCAGTCCTGGCCGTGTAAACGGTGCAAAGGTCTGAATGTGATGCACAGCGATGTCAGACAAATTACCCTTAATCAGAAGATGAGAGTGAAGACCTATATATAGGGGCCTAAAGCTGACAAGCAGCGCGCTAGCACAGAGGAGAAGGGAGGAAATCATAAGTCGCTCAGACGAGTTGTAGAAGCAAGTTGTGCGAAGAGTACAATACACGACCAGCACAAGAGATGGTAAAGACAGAAAGATAGCTTGGAAAGAACGCATGAGGATATGTTTAATTATAAGAAATCAGTTTGTGTTGTTTCCCACGTTAGCCTAGTATCCGTCATCTGGCAATTTGTGGCTTGTGATCAATCTATAGATTTATGCTGATGATGAAGCAGGCAGCGATTGAAAATACAGATATGACTCGCATGATGCGAAGTGTGGTAAAATGCCGAATAAACAATACTGCATACATAACCTTACTTGCATATATTACCTAAACCGCTCAACGGGAAAGCAGAAAAGGTGCGTAAATTAAGGACTGAAAAGACCAACTGAAATAGATGTCTTCGAAACGAAAATTTCCAACGATCAGAAAAAGACATGAGGCATTTCTAAACATGATACTGATGCTGGCTGTCGTGAAGCATGTATGTATATACTACAGGAAAATGAGGCCAGGGACGAGGCTGGCGTTCTTTCTGCCTAGCCTGCAATTGGTACTCGTAAATACTAGAAGTCATGAACCAATTTCGCACGCATGGTTAATAACAAGTGGAGAAATGGTAATGGTAATGGCAATTAATTGAAGGTCCACTTGGGAGTATTTGGCCGCTGGATGCGATTCCTGCACACGTGTAGTACTCGCCATGCTATGTGGTAAGTATTGTCGGGAAAGGAAAGTCGTCCTTAGCGAAACATTGTACTGTAGGACCATCCGTACTTCCCAGGATCAGAGGCGGGACGTGCACGTGATTGCGGATATTCTAGGATACATATAGCGAGCATGATATGCCTTCGTATATACAGTACGCGAATCCTAGAAGGAAATATCCTTGAATGGCGAGGCGAGCTGAATACTGTATACGTTTGGGAAACCTTACGTACTTACAAATGGCATTGCTTTTCACAAATCAATAGAATCTCTGATAATATCAAACATGTTGGAGTTTCATGTACTGTATTCTAATGCTGCGTGAAGGACCATGCCCTTATGAGCTTTTAAAATCGCATCTGGGAGACTTGTTGCGGGGAAAGTGATATAATAGGCCCAGAGTATACTCCTTACCCCGTAATTTATATCTAGCGGGAATAAGGACGCATCGCATCTTTGACATGCATGCAAAGTTTAATGAATTTGAACAACACCCTGTACCTAACTCTAAATCTGAAACCACGTAAGGACGTACCAGTGTCGTATCTCCGCCAGCAATAATATTGCAGTTCCGAAGACGGCGAAGAGGTACAGTATACGTACCGGTATCTCTCCTGGTGTGTGAATACAGATAGCTCTCGCTGAATAAATATTTATACTAGGAATTACAGTACCTCCAAACGGTGATATCGATTAATGGATGAAATATCTGGACTCTACGCAGACTACTGTAGCCTGACATGATGAACTCCCTCCCGTCCTCTTGCGAAATTCCAATTTGACATATCGGGCGGGGCGATGCGGTTTAAAGATATAGTAGGTGGACGGAACAGACCCATTAACGACAGAGACCGAATGTTCGGATAAGGCTGACGCAGGTCCATGAAAGAAGCAAGAAGTATAGTAGAAGCAGAAGCATCCGGGGACGCAGGAACAAATACTGTAAAAGGAGAGAGGTCCTTTGCCGGCATTACGACGCGCATTGTACTGTATATATATTATATATGGCCCCCAGATTCTGGCAGATTGCAGATGGACGGCAGCTGTTTGTAGTCTTGGAAGAGATGAAGTATCAGAGAACGGGAGGCCCCACCAGGACATGTTCCCCGAACCCTAGCAACTTTACTTGAACAACACGCCTCGAGACCCAGTTACTAGTACATAGATACTTTATGTAGATACATCTTTATGCCAGCCAGTTTAGGTTTAGGTGTGGTGTTCCGTACGGCAGGGACTGCGGGGAAGGGTTTCCCAACGGGACGATCCTCCAACTCAAATGATTGTGGCATAAGGTACTGTGGAGGTGGGTTTTAGACTATATAATTAATAGACTAACTAATTAGCTTATTTATCACTTGATATTATTACATTGTAGTAACTATAGATCTTAGAAAATCCAAGTCTTTACCTCCTAACGAAAACGCCCCTGTCAATACCTAACTAGTACTTCGTAATACTTCATAGTACCTCTGGACTTACTACTCACTCGCACCGCAACATCCCTTTCTTTCCTCTGCCCCACCGCATGCCCTGTCCATGCTGCCACCCACACTTCCCCAAAGTTCCAAACCTGATACTTACGCCAAGCAACCACATTAATTTACCAGCAGGCTATATATCCACGGTTTCGAAAACTAGGGTTCGCATTACCCCTCTGTTGGTGCAGTACAGTGCATGACATTCATTACTCCTGACAGGAGCGACAAGTCATGGGATCAGATGTGTTGTGTCTGTCCTTTTGCTTGCTCACTTGAGCCAGCCAGTGAGCCAGACTTGGGAATGTCGACAGGACAGGACAGGACAGGGTTGATGCGGAACGGCCGCACTAAGATGCGATGCGATTCGAGGAGCTTGATGCTCCGGGACTTCGGTAGAGTACTCCGAAGAAAAGGGGGGCTGCTGAGCGCTAGTCATGCAGAAGGGAGGCGGCTAGCCAATCATAGGAGGTTTAAGGTAGCTCCCTGCCCCGCACAGGTCGTTGAAAGGAGGAGGTGGAGGAGTTCGTGGGATGGGATGGGATGTTCAGACCACCGGGTGGTCAAGCCACAATGATGGCAGCAGAGGGAGAGGGGCACGGTGGCTGGGAATTGTAGAGTACCTACCTACGGAGGTATAGGTACGGAATAATATTAAAGCTTACCTACCTACCTACCTACCTAGGCTAGGTAAGTACCTAGGTAACTAACGTAGGTATACTTTCAAGTAGTCGCTTACCTAGGTACCCTCGTACCTTATGTTACGAAGTTCGCGTGCTTGAATACCACCTCGCATGTGCTGGTGCGCTGCGCTGCGCTGCGCTGCGATTATTAACTACATTACCAAGTCCTCCGTATACGAAGAAAAGCAAAGAAACCAGTCTGTGCACTCACTCACTTTCATAAAGTGGCTGCCCTGCCTGACCTGGGCTGGTTAGCTGATGTACTGGTTAATGTACACCGTACCTACCGTACCGAGCCGGCGAATGCAGTCCTCCGTAATGTACTCCGGACACTAGATCTGGTGGACGGAGGAATAAAAGCCATCTGAGAAGGGGACGAAGATCCCTCGTTAACCTGTGGCAGCGGCTAGGAAGCATTTGCTCAGGTGAACAGTAGTGAACTTGCTTTCGAGCCGCTCCCCAGGTGCACGTGAGTCAACCCCTGGTGGACTTTAATCCCTTTGACTCTTTTTTAATTAGGGGCCGTGCGCTCAGTGGCCCGCGACCAAAATACATCCCTGGATTGTTTTTCAACTTTGGTAACGACTATCATGATGGGGGAGGGGAGGCGAGGGGAAGCTGCTGGGATCGAGGGAAATCTGAGGGGAACCACTCCACTGAACCCGTCTAGATGCCCTCCCCATGGCCAGTCAAGACCTTTCAAGCCCTGCCAAATGCCTTCGACTAGCCAGGTATGTTGTGGGTGCGTTACATCATGTATTGAGTCTGATTACTGGTAACCTTTTAGATTAACATACTACTGCGCATCAGCTATCAGCCAGATTATTGGCCCTGCACACTAGCCATCACACTCACATAGGTGAGCCATAAAGCAAATGGTGCGCAAATTCAGTGTGCCAGGTCTGTTCTCTTCCGTGCTTCTACAGTCCATTATCATGGGCACCAGGGAAAATAGACGCTATTCTGCGGCGCACGGCAGAGCATTCGCATCTTGAAGAGACAGTTGCGGGCAGTTTGGATATACACTACACGCCTTTTGAGTAGCAGGATCCCTCGATTGAACAAGACGCAAAAGGTCCGACCTACACAAAGTCGGAGCGACTGCTTTATTGTGGTGGTACACGCTCCGTACCAGGCTGGATGACCTTCATGTGGCAACCGTATACTCGCTCGACTTTGCTCGACGACAAGAGGAACAATGTCGTTGAGGCACCCGTTTCCCAATGTCTACAAGTTCTTCAACCAATTTGCGGACCCCACTCAGTCCTCGCCTGAGCAGTCATCCCGAAGTCAAGGGCTCCGGAAGAGTGGTCCACGCTCCAAGACCGGTTGCTCGACATGCAAGTATGTGCCTTTTTTTGCAACACCACAGGATCCTAGCTTCATATGATTCATGTTCTGGAGACTCTACATAGCTGATCACATGTAGACAACGGCGTGTAAAATGCGACGAAACTAAGCCGGGATGTATAAGGTGTCAGAATCTCGGGAGGGAGTGCGGAGGCTACCAAGTTGAAGCAAATACTGAATCAGAAAAAGCCGTCGCCCCAGTGGCGATCCATCCACGTCCTGTATCTGTAATGCCGTATGCACCGTCTTCTGCAATTCCTGGGAACCAAGAAGAACGTCGCTACTTTCAACGTTTCTGTGATAAGACGTCGGGGGAGATTGCTGGAGAGTTTGACCCTACGTTCTGGACTGAAAAGGTTCTTCAGCTTTGCCATACGGATGCTCCGATACGGTATGCTACGATAGCTTTGGGGGCGCTGGCGAAGTCTTTGGAGGTAACGTCGTTTCCAACACGGTTGTCGCTGTCAGGGTTTCCCCAGATTGACGTGCGACATATGGATGAGCATCACAGCTATGCTTTGCGGCAGTATAGTAGGGCGATTGGGGCACTTAGAACGGTTCTTTCCGACGGTCGGCGGCATTTGAGGACGTCACTCACATCATGCGTATTGTTTATGACGTTCGAAGCTCTGCAAGGAAGCTATGACGGGTCGTTAACGCACCTGCGAGGAGGGTCGAGATTACTCGCCGATTGGAGAACAGCACGGAAAGGGCAAAGCTCACGGCTTTCGCAGGATTCGTTGTCGGAGATCCAAGATGGACTTGTTGATGACTTGGGCAGACTGTTTGCACGACTGGACGTCCAAGGACTTTTTGTGCCGCCACCATATCCGATGCCTGAATGCGACTGGGAGGATATTATGATTGCTGATTATTTTAGCACTTTCCACGAGGCGAAGGAATCGTTTGATTTCTTGATGCAAGGCATAGCGCAATTCTACCTAAAGTCTATTGGCCATGCACAACAACACCCGGACATACTGGCCTCGACGTTTTGGATAAGCCAGCATACTCACTACTCTAACAAACTCAACCAATGGAGGTCAGCGTTCCAGGTGGTCCACGCAAGAGAAGTGAAGACCGGAGCGGTTTTGACCGAGGCAACGAACGTGCTCAGTATATACTACAATCTCGCCACGGTTCTGCTAGCATCCAGTGTGCAGCATTCAGAGATGTTGTACGATGAATTTGAGGCCTTGTTCGCCGAAATCATCACGAAATCCCATCAACTTCTCACGAACCCCGATGAGCCCACGAACACTGCTCGGTACACGCTCGACATGGGGACGATACTTCCGCTTGCAATCACAGCGATAAAATGCCGCAATAAACGGATACGGCGGCAATCGATTGCACTGTTGTGGTCGAAAGCTCGTCGGGAAGGGCTGTGTTTCGATACCATTACAGTAGCTCGACTCTGTGCTTGGCTGTCGAGTATAGAAGCAGAAGGGATTCTCGAGGAATCGGAAATGATACCTGAGTCGGCTCGATATGTGGTGACATATCTGCACATCAACTCAGAAGAGCGTTGGTTGGCAGTGCAACTTACGTCGGCGATAGCAAAAGAGGACGGGACACTTTCGTACAAAGAGACGACATTTTCTTGGTAGTGACATGGTATGGTCTTCTTGATATTGAGAATTTTGGGAGTATGATATGGTGAAACGGGACACAGAACAAACCGCGGCTTGATGCCCGCCGTGCATCTCGGGAAAGGGATTCATGAGAGTTGCTGCCGCACTTGCACTTGCACTCGCATTTGCAGATGCGTATCCGCAAAATTGTCACGAGGCTGGCGGGATAGAAAAGAAAGTGTGATAATGAGGGCTAAGATGCGATGCAATCACGTCGATATGCAGCGACGCCGCGATCAGCATCAGTCTTACATTTGCGAGCCAAATTGCGGGCCAATTAATGGTACCAGGCGTTCCGGACGGAGGTCTTCTTTCTCGCATCAGGAAGATCGGGGGGACGGAGTAGGGCTTTCATGGTTTGGTCACCTTGTATGACTAGGGCTGGGGAGTTCAAGTGAGGCTGCATCCGGACCGGGCACTGGGGGTAAATAGCAGTGCAGTGCATCATGAGAATGGGAGGCTTGGCGTTTGGAGGAGGCGATGGAATGTAAAAAATAGGGACTTATCTGCAGCTCATGAATGTATATTTATTTGCCTTTGCTTTCGAAGATGTGGGGGCATCTTTCAAAAGATCACATAATTTTGCGTACCAAGACATTATGAGGCGTATCTCTTGTATATGTGAGTGACGCAGGAGAAGAAAAGAATATCCCAAATGATAATAATGCACGTGACTACCCCTCCATCCTTTCCCTCCATGCCCCAATAGGATTAGTCGCCCATCGTAGCGAAGCGACGCAGCTCTTCCCACAAATCTTTTTTCGCATTTCCGGAACGTCGAAAGTTCGAAAAGCCAACGCCAAACTCTCCGAATTGACAACCATCCCCCTCAATCAATTCGACTCAACATGGCTGACGCACCCAGAGGCGGAGCTGCTGCTCGCGGTGGTGGATTTGGATCGCGCGGTGATCGTGGAGGAGACAGAGGAGACAGAGGCCGTGGACGTGGACGTCGTGGACCCCGTCGTGGTGCCAACAAGAACGAGGAGAAGGAGTGGCAACCAGTTACCAAGCTTGGCCGTCTCGTCAAGGATGGAAAGGTCAAGTCGATGGAGGAGATCTACCTGCACTCTCTGCCCATCAAGGAGTACCAGATTGTGGACTTGTTCTTGCCAAAGCTCAAGGATGAGGTTATGAAGGTATGCGATCCTTGGGAATATGCGTGAAGTGCGAAGATTGGGGAGTGGAATCGCAGTTCACTGACGAGTATATCACACACAGATCAAGCCCGTCCAGAAGCAAACTCGTGCCGGTCAACGTACCCGATTCAAGGCCATCGTTGTCATTGGTGATTCCGAGGGACATGTTGGTCTTGGTATCAAGACCTCCAAGGAAGTCGCAACTGCCATCCGTGCCGCCATCATCATCGCCAAGTTGAGCGTTCTGCCAATCCGAAGAGGTTACTGGGGTACAAACTTGGGTCTTCCTCACTCTCTGCCAACCAAGGAGAGCGGAAAGTGCGGTTCCGTTTCCGTCAGAGTAAGTTTTGTAGTTTTCTAATTCTTTGCACCTTGACTGACTTTTCCCCAGCTTATCCCAGCTCCCCGTGGTACCGGTCTCGTTGCCTCCCCAGCCGTCAAGCGTCTTCTCCAACTTGCCGGTGTCGACGACATTTACACCTCCTCCTCCGGTTCTACCAAGACTCTCGAGAACACCCTGAAGGCTACTTTCGTTGCTGTCGGCAACACGTACGGATACTTGACCCCCAACCTGTGGAAGGAGACTAAGCTCATCCGGAGTCCTCTGGATGAGTTCGGAGATACTCTGCGTGCTGGTAAGCGATACTAGATGGTGGGATCTAGTATAGGTTGATGATTTTTATTTGCGTATTGCATGAAAATGGAGCTGGATTCAGTAGCTATGTCTAGTTGAATTGGAGCTTTTTTCCCAAAATTAGTCGCATTTTGTGGCTTCGAGTTTTGATTTGTGAAGTGAACCTGAGATTAGAAGGCGCGATACCACAGCGCGGCTGCTAATTTGGGGGAAATTTACATTCGTTATGGTAAGTGATAATCGTGGAAGGCGCAACTGATCCAGATGCCAACTAGAGTAAGCTACTTCCCTTCGACGCTCTCTTCAAATCTACATGCTCAATTTTGATCTCCCTTTTGGAACCACTCTACTCAATTTTGGCCTCTTGACTTGCTCTACACTTGCCTTTCCTTCAACACCCTCTTTTTGGTGAACAATGCGCCTTCTACGGTCTTACCTTTTCCCTCTCCTCGCGATTGCCTTCTTGATCGTATTCTCGGTGATCACGGTAGTTTCCGTTGGGGAGAGTTTCAAAGTCCTTGGAATCCGAAAAGATGGGATCAAACTCTCCAAGAGAGATGGCTCGACAATCTCTTTGGATCTGCCATGGAAGTAAGTGCCAATAGTCTGAAACCAGCCAGTTACGATTCTGATGATTGGTTAGTAGGTCTGCACACGATCACGATGCAGCGGATGCGAAAGCCATATCGCCAATTGCCGATGGTCTACTAGGGGCAATTTCGAACATCGCAGGAGCTCTGTTGAACGATGAGACCAACATCGTAGCCCAAGTTCCTTCTCCTTCGGACGCGAGTCCTCTTGTCTCTACAGTCCTGGCAGCGGCCTCTGGTTTGACAGCCGTAGTGCCTACTGCGACCAACTTGCAGGATCTCAATATCGCCGTGAGCCAAGGCGATGGCATCGTTAATTTTCTGGTCAGTGATGCTGCGGCTATTGTGGGAAGTATCTTGGCTGGTATGTCGGGCGCGTCGAATATAGGAGTCCTTTCGGTCCTTCCTACACCAAGCACCGCGAGCGTAAGTGGTGTTACCGGTGTTGGGGGAAGCATCCTGGCAAGCGTAGCAGGCGCCTCAGTCCTCTCGATCCTTCCTACACCAACCACCCCGAGCGTGAGCGATGCTACGGGTATTGTGGGAAGCATCCTGGCAAGCATATTAGGTGCCTCGAATACAGGAGTCCTCTCGAACCTTCTTACACCAACCACCACGAGCGAACCTCAAGAGTTCCTTCCTCAAAGCACCCTTCACAGTAGCTCAACCACCATCTCGTCCCAACAACAAAATATCACATCTGCCCCCTCGCTTAACAACACCATTGCGAGCCCTGCGAGTACAGCTGGATCTCTATGCCCCCTACCGACCACTTGTACATTGTGCCCACTAGCCCAAACCGAAACATGCACAGTCACGGAACGATGGCATTTGACCAAGTATGAGGAAACGGCAACGTTTTTCAGCTTTGCTGATGTTTATACTGTGACTTGTACGGAAACTATTAAGTGCGTATGCAAATCCACGCCACTGAACTTCTGCTAATAGAACTTTCAGTATATGTCCATCATTAGGTGCAATAATGCCCACCCCCTCGTCTTCTGTTATAGCTTGCGCAAATGGAGATATCGTGAAAAGAGAGGAGGATTGTTCTCTTCCTACCTCAGATACCATACCATCACGCACTCATCCTTGTCCCAATGAGGGATACTCATGCTCCGAATGTCCCGATAATTATTTCTGCCCACCACAACAGACTCCCGCACAGAGTTGTCCTTGCGGGTACGGATGGGCTTGTGCTCATTGCAGTCAGGATTGGTTCTGTATTCCAAGTCCTTCATCTGTCAATCTGAGCCCAATCACCTCGGTTGCCAGTCTGCTTGGAAATGTTACTCTGTAAGTTCTTGCTTTTCTTCAGACCACCAGGACCAGCTCCCTTAAGAAATTCAGCCCCACCATTGGGTATAACTTGGTCGAATTTTAAGCTGACAGTCACTCCTTCAGAGTTCCAAACTCCACTGCATCAGTTACAGCCACGGCTCCTCTCAAAACGAGTGCTCCAAATCTTTCCGCAATTGCGACAGCCCTGGGACTGAGCCTGCCTTCTGCTAAATCTTCGGCATTACCGACCTCCTCCATCCTCGACCTCAGCGCTGCCGCCTCGGCCATTAGCCAAGTCAACAGTGCCGTCGGCGGTGTTGCTAGCGGTCTCACTGGAAACAATGTTATAAATGCTGTCGTTGGAGAGGTCGTGTCTGCACTAGGTAATGTCAGCGGGCTCTCAGGAGATATGCTGGCTCAAGTCAGAACCATTTTGGCCTCTGTCAATGCTGCGCCTGGCAACATCATTCCAACCAACCTCGCATCCGAACTTGCCAATATTCTTCCAACCAACCCCGCATCTGATCTTGCCAATTTTCCTCCTCGTCTGATCCCTCTCCCAACCCTTGCTCGAGAAATGCACACTCAAACCCGCGATATTGTCAGGCATATCACTACTTTGCAGCCAGTCGTAACAACCATAACTGTTATGCGGACCGTTCAACCTGTGCCAGCGGATGCTCTCGCTGCGCCGGTATAGTAAATGAAGCAAATGGCGGAGGGTTGAAAGTGAAGAGACGAGAAGCTAGAAAGGAGGGATGAAATGAATAGATTTCTGCTTCTCATGTGATATTTGATATGAAGGAGGGTAATGAAGGGAAGAGAATGAATGAATGAATGAATGAATGAATGAATGAACGTCTGTAATTTTGGTAGTTATAGATAATTGACGGATAATGTATTAATTTATGACTTATAACTTATAGGCTTCTTGTGTCATGGCTTAATGCTGGTGATGGTTGCCTTGAGACTGAGCGGTGGGTTTGAAGGAGTAAGTAGACAGGACGGAGGGTATTTTATTTTGTTAGTATAGTAGAACCAATACCGAGCAAAATAACTCGGGAAATATTCCCGAATATACATACGCCAGTACTGTATGTCATGCTATGCTGTTGCTGATGCTGATGCTGTTGCATATTGTGTTGTACATACATATAATCTGCTATCCCTTCTTTGAATCCTTCAATGAAGAAACACGCCCGGCCCCATTCCATTCCATTCCAATCGAATATCGTGGGTTTCGGTATTCGGTATTCGTATTCATGAGTAAGTATCGTGTAATTAGGGAGAGAGATGATGGATTTACTATCTAACCCGTTTGTGAGCGCGAAAGTCACGCTGTCACTTGCGACAAGCGGAGTAAACTTTACAGCTACAGCCTCCGGGGAAATAACTCGAGGGGATAGCAAGCAGGAGGCGTGCTTCCTTCGGGTTCAAGTCCAGATCATCATCATCCTCATCTTCAGCCTTTGCTTCCTTCTGCGTATCGCACCCAGATCATTAACGCCCCATGCATAGATCTTATTATCATGCGTCGGAGCCGCGCAATGAATGCATGCCTCCTACCGCGATCTGCACAACGCCTGCCGTGTTCGCATCGAGGAGATCGTTGAGGCGAGGCGAGGCCGTTGAACGCCTTTTGGTCTCTTGCCGTTGCGTATTACGTGACCGAGACCGAGTTCGCCATTATGACCGGTTCCGAATACGTAGGTATCGAGTATTTAGGTCGGAGGTGTATTTATCGTCTTCTCGTTCTCGGCTCGTCTTGCAGGTTTCGCAGCAGTCCTACTGTACGGTAGGTTCATCGGCTCTGGCGCGCTTCCTGCTCGTCGTCGTTGTGGCTTTCTTTGGAGGGAGTAGGTGCCTCTGGTTTCGTAGCTGCGCGTTGATATTAGTAGTGTTGATAGAATATATGGTCTCATATGCTAATATAACTTACTCCCATTAACAATGGACCTTTTCACAGACGTGGTTGCTTCAGCCTTTGGTTACGTTTTGGGGGCATTTTTGGTCGCCGTATCTTTCGAGGCGGCTTTTTAGCCCAGGTTTCGCCTTTTGCGTGACTGCCTTGGGTGGCATATTTGCGACACAGAGAAAGTGGAATCAATAAAGTTGGACGAAGTGAAAGATCTTCTCGAGATCGCCGTCAGGAGCTTATGAAGTAACATGTTGTTTACTCAGGTCAGGGTCAAGGATCGGCGTCTAGTTGTTCCGCCCGATCTAACATTTCTATCTATAGGTACAGGTACATAAGCCTAAACTAGCGCGCTAGTATTATTATCAATACAGTATAAAATATACAGACTATGCTCAAATGAAAGTATAAAAGAATTTACAATACTTGAAAGTAGTATGCAGGGTATCAAAACATCTCCGCCCCAAAAACAAAACTCAAAACAGATCAATCCAACTGTGCCTGAAGCTGAATTCTATAATACAGGAAAAAGATGCGCTGCCCAAACGATTAGCAAAAACTCCACCAATGTTCCTCAGCTAGGGTGGTTTTAAAAATCTTGAAAGTGACACCTGAACCATCCCCATGCCTCTTTGTCCTTCCCCCATCGTTGCCGATTCCAAATCTTCAAGCTTCTTCGCTGTTTCCTTACACCAATTCAACTCGATCTGCAGGTCCATATCATGATTCCGACTCAACTCTAAAAACGTATCCCAAGCGGCGGCGAAGGCGTATAAAACATGTCCATTTCCTACAACCCTCCGTTCACGGGCGAAAAAGTACTCGACGGATTGACAAACAGTCCTAGCCCAGCTGAAAGATTCGCTGGCCTTTTCCATCAACGTTGTACTAGGACTCAGATTGTGCTCTGCTGCCTCTCGTATAAGCTGCATCCACAAAACTTCAACGGTGAGCTTCACTCCTGCGAAGAACATGAAGCAAACTGCCTCCACGGGATTGCAGAACTCAATGGATTCAGAGTGCAATCCTTCCCATGCCGGGGGAATGGTCGGAAAGAGAGATTGAGAATATGTCTTTGGTAATATGGATTTCCATTGGTCCAACTGCGACTCAATTCTGAGAAGACCATGCATCTGAGAAACCAACCACGGTAATTCCCGATCCTGAAAGTTGTCGAAGGCTACCATATGTGCTGGCACTTGGTAGGCAATGTCAACGAGTTTTTGAAAAGGGTGGTTCGCAAGCGTGTGTTGTTCACGGCCTGGAAAGTAACACCATTCCGGCTGGGCTAAGAAGGAAGTCTTGCGAGTCATAAGACTCCAAAGGACTTGTACAGAACGGTAGCCAAAGTAGTTATCTTTCGCTGCAACGCTGCCGAGGGAGTCTAGTCCAGAGTGCTCGATCAAAGCGCCGACACCAGATAGATGTTGTGAGAAGTTGAGCCAAGACTTGGTGACCAAAAGCTCTGAAGCAGCGAAAATCAGGGCTGTCGCCGAGAGCTGATAAAAGCTGCCACATTCCTTACTCTGCAAATACGCATCAAAGCCATCTCTCAGTTTTCTCATGGATTTAGTTTGGAGATCCAAGGCTCGAACAGACATATCCTGGTCATCTTTGTCGAGGCTGACTTGTTGGAGAGCCATACTGACGATGGCGTCGTTCAGAATCTCTCCTTCGGGCGAATCTATATCATAAGCAAATCTGGTTGTCCAGAATGAAAAATAGATTCCAACTTTGATTTGTCGCGGGCCATCCGTCGAAGATTGGCCGGTTATCGATGCGGTGTTGCCAGGGAACACAGCAATAAAAGTATTGGTATCATTTGGTCCCAGGGTAATCTTGAACGGTAGATTGATGGGGAATCTGGCCTCCTTGTTGAGAGAAGGTCCAGGAATAGGGAATATATCCCTCGTTGGCTCAGTTTCCCAGCCACCATTGTAAGTCTCAGACAACAGTGATATTGCTTCTTCCGAGGCGCTGCTGTCGCTTCCATTTGGTGAGTGGGGCTGATTTGCTTCCTGCTCCTTCTTGCGTTGCCTGTAGGCTTGGACATAGGCTCTGACTTTCTGGCGCCTGATAGCTTTCCGCTCTTCTAAAGTGAGGATGAATCTTCGACGCCCTGGGGGCATCGCCACCGATGTTCGAGACCAGAATCAGGACCGGGGTCCAGATTAGGACTACTTGATGTGAGGGCTAGTCCAAAAGGGTAGGCGGGCCAGATGATGAGAAGGCAGGCAGGCTTGGGTCCACTTGGTTCAGCATTCATGGGATTGCCAAGCACGATTGGCTGATCAGGGAAGGAAGTAATAGTCTTGTGGCTACAGATACACCGTGCCAGACTTTGATAACATGTTTCATACTCAAGTATAGGTAAGTATACCGAGAAGAGACACATAACGAATATATACCAGGTAGAGGTGAGGCTATGTAGACCATATTAACCGTGATCGGGAAGTATAAAAAAACCATCACGGAACAAACGAAGGAAACACGGATCTGGGTAGCATCAAATGGAGACGACAAGAAGGGCCTGGAAAGTTCAGGCGGGATCAGGTTTAGACGAGATAGCGATGCGGGCCGAGATGGGCAAGAGGGCCACATGGTGGTGTGGAAAAGAGTAGGTAGGTACCAGGTACTAGGTACTAGGTACTAGGGAGTAGGTAAGTACGAAGTACCCAGTACCTAGGTAGAGTAGAGTGGAGAGTCTACCTGGGCCTGGGTAGGTGCCTAGTACTCGTAGACAGGACTCAATAGGTACGGAGAGTGTATGACCTAATACCAACAAGGCGAAGCCGCGCAGGACGGCACGGGCTTACCTTAGCATAAGGCACCGTATCGGTAAAAACGGCGACATTACGCCCACTAGTGCCGTAGAAGAGAAGAACTTTAAATGCTTCTACGCATAAGTAGAGAAGTTCTAGCTCTCATACGGGTAGACCGAAGACGTACCTAGGTAGATACCGTATATATTTCGGCATCTAGGTAGCCGCTTGGCCGCTGCCGCAACATCCGAATGTGGAAAGAAGTACGGAGAAGCTTCTCGGTAGAGGCACCTCGGCTTATGCAATCATATAATTGGCTGCAAACCGCTGACAAATATCCAGGAGCGAGTCGGCGTCGGTCTCTCGAAATGAATACCATCCGATGGTATGTCGTACGTCGACTTGCGCTAGCCAAATCGGAGAGGCATAAAAGTTATGCATAGCACAGACATCCTAACTGGCTAGGTACTTCGGTCTTTATACAAATGTGGAGGCATTTAAGGTACCTGACGCGGTCGGCCTAAACGTATCTACATATACGGAGTAGAGATAATAACATCTTTTGTACTACTTCTAGTATGAAGAATTAATTAATTCCAAATACTTTTGATTTATTTATTTATGATACTAAAAGCTTAATAACTAATACTTATATTAATATCTGCTTTAACAAGGAAGATTGCTATATGAAGTGATGCATGTTAAAAGTTGGGGATAGTTACAAAAACGCGACGCGAGATGTTTACTTTTCGCGTGCACTTACTTATGCATTTTATACGTACCGAACAGGTTAGCGTAAGGAGACGCGACTTACGGCAACCCCGTCCGATCTATCAATAATGTAATGCCTCACTCATCCTCATCCTCCTCTTCTGCTGATCATCTGATGAGAGCGCACTACCTAGGTACGAAGCTCCCACCTCCGCTCTCCGTCCTTTCGCTTCGCTTTCTCAGACCATCCGAGAGCTTTTTTCTTTTTTTTCACACCTGGAGACAGCCGCACCACCAATCATGTGATTCTAGAATATCGTACGACTTTTCGGGCCCAGATTATGACGTAGTGACGTTCTAGCCTCAAGATGCACGTGATGAAGCTCCATCACATGAAAGGTCCCCATCCCGTCCCCTAGGTGTGTATTTCAGCGCATTGGTATCTCCCTATAAATAAAGCAGGGTCGATACAAACTCAAGTATGATATGGTATGATTTCAGTTAATTGTAACTCTTCCACTCTTTCCATCTACTGTATCTCCGCATCATTCTGCAAAGCCCCTAAAAGTTTACATTCGTGGATACTTTCACGACGCTCTAACTCGTGCGTCCTCACGAATGCTATGCATGTTTGAAGAGTCAGCTCTGCTATATATTTTTTTTTCCTGCAAAGACCGCAGGTGTGTTTAGTAGGTGTCTCTTCATTCTTTCTCCGTGCTCCGCCCGATGTACATCCTTGTGCAGTGCATCTCGGTGCAGCAAAATGGCTTGTCATGTCAATCAAGATGCTACGAATGCGCTCTCCTGTTTGGAAGGAAAACTTTCGTGGGGGTAAAGGAGGTGGACACGTTAGAAGGAACCCTTACAAGTGTAAAAGGTGGGTTTTTCCTTTATAGATTTCCGGTCTGTGAATAGGTACTCCAAACAGTATATTTTACATGGTAAAACGTACCTAGCAACCACTCAGCAACGAGTGATTTGCGTGTAGGGGTTCGGTTCAAGGTGTCCACCCCTTTACTTTTAGTAACATGCATGGTGAGAGCGTCTATCCCACTTTTCTCTATAGCATAAAACTATTCCAGGTCCGTCTTTAGGGACGGGCACAAGGTTATACTGGAGCCTAACTCTTCAAGTGGTGTGCGTAATTGCGAGACGATGGTTCCCAATCTACCAAGAGCATCTAACTTCTCTTCCTGAATGCGACGCGCTTTTTGCGTAGGTATTTAGGTCTACAGGGACCGGGGCTGTTAGCTAATTACGTACCTGGGCCTTCTTTTCAAACGGACCCTGACCGACACTTTGCCCACTAGACAATACGTTGCGAACTATATATACATCCTAGGCCTGCCTCAATGGAACCTAATGCTTAATTGAAAGGCAAGCTATTGCGCGAGTGGATAGGCCCGCCGGGCAGAAACGAAATATAAGGGTGGTTCGCTACATCATGAAAGGAATAGTAGAAGAGGTATAGAGTAGCAGTACTACTGCGTTTAAACATGTTAGCCAATCTTTAAAGATTGAATTGCAAGCATAATAACTACAGAGAAACTCAAATACGCAAAAGTCAAATAGGGAAGATAACGTTTATGCTTTAGCAAAAAGTAGAAGCGTCGGCGTACAATTTTCGTAGACATAGGACTGTGATGTTATCTTGCATTGAAATTTAGACACTACATGCGGATCTTATATTAAAGAAAAACTTCTACTGTGGTGGCGTTGAACAGGTCGACTTCGGGGGTACTTGACAGAAAGAAATAGGGGGGCGGTAGACAATAACCTTGTCTTGCCCCTCACTCTATGGAAATCATTCGACACCACCGAAAGACTAGGTATACGAACCAAAATACCCTCTTAGATACTGCCACACAAATGCAAGTCAGACTCGAATGTCCCTAGCAGCACCATACATACATGCACACATACATACACGAAATAGCACTCCCACACATTGTAATATATACTCCTTCCCACCTACCTACCCAGCTTATACCTTCTCTTTACCTAAAGCCGAGACAGATGCCAGATATCCCATAATACGAACTACAGAGGTGAAGAGGTTACAGTGACAGTAAAACCAATCGTTGTGAAACTAAAAGCAAACCGAAAAGAAAGTGAGGTTTCCAGGTACAGGCAGGTAGCAGAAAGCAAAGATAATGAATGCCACTTGCTAGAAGAACGAACACGAGCACCAGCATGAGCACAGCGCAGATAATGTAAGGTGATATACCTTAGCTATTTATTGCCCAGAAGATTAGGTAGAATCCAGATCATGGCGAATTTAAGGACTACATATGATATGGCGATTCAAAACGAGAGTACAAGCCAGTTCAGTTTCTCAGTACCTCTACAACGCAAACCCTCTATTTGAATTCTATAAATGAGAAAGCAGGAACATAGGAAAATTTGTGGGGGGCCCTAGGGGGAAAGTGAGGATTATTCGTACAGCGTGCAGCGTAAGTCAGAAACCCGTTTCGAAATGCTCGTAACGCCATCTTACATCTAATGCTTTTTGCGGAACGAATAGCTCTAGAATCTCGAAATATCTCGACCGAAAGTCCAGTTGACAGCCCTAAACGTCATATTAGCATCGTCTCTCAATGAGGGAAGAGAGAAATTACCACTGCACAGAATTAGTACTTGATGCCTGTAGAGATAGAACAAGACCCGGGAAGATGAAGGAGGAGGAACAAAGAAGGGGCTGCTTACATATATCGGAACCAATAACTTATTCCTCCAGCTAAGAGTCTTCGTCAGATACGCACCGCGCCAAATAACCCAAGCAATCCATCCCCTAATCTCCTGGCCCTGCCCGCCCTGCATAATAGCCTTCATGTTGCCCACATATGTCATGACACCCATGTTCTTGAACGAGAAGCTCTTCTGCTCAATGTCGCCATTGTTCAGCCTCGTGCCGAGCCATTTCGCTTCTTGATTCGCGACTTGGGCAGTAGCTGGCAGTGGACTCTTCTCCATAACGGAGACGTCGCCGAGAGCAAAAACGTCATTGACTGTTGCTTCGGGCGCCGTGGACTGGCCGATGCTGCCGTCACGGGGAGTGAGGTGGACGCGGAATTTGTCGTCGACTACCAAACCGCCGGTTTTAGGGCTGCGTTTAAGATGCCATTTGATGGAGGATGGATCGGTGGGAAGCTCGGTGGAGAGGGTTGCTGAAGAAGTGGGGTAGGTGTGTACGTCGTCCATTGCTTTTTGAATGAACGGATTCATCATTAGACCTGTAGACCAGACGCACATCCCAATGCCAACCTCGCCATTTTCCTTGGTCTTCAGGGTAAAGCAGCCGCCGGTCTCTTCTGAGGAGCCAGGTAGGCCTGAACGCAATTCTTCGATGTGGTGCTCGGTTTTGATGGCAATGCCGTCACGCTTGAACTTCTGCGTTGCATAGTTGGCGAGTTTGGCATCGAACATTGGGAGAATCTTTTGTGCAACATCGTAGATTGAAATTTTGATGCGTGGAATTAGATTGGCGTAGAATTTCTTCAAGTCTTCATGACACAGATCATAAAGCTCAGCTGCGAACTCAACGCCGGTTGCTGGTAATCTTAGCATGTTGACTTGGAAGTCGGATTATGAACTATAACTTACGACCGCCGCCTACAACGGCAAAATTCAGCAACTGGTCTTTTAATTTATCCGAGGTGGTTGGCAGTGAAGCAATTTCAAAGCCTAGTGCGAGGGGTCAGCAACACCATGAAGTTTTATCAAATAACTTACATTCAAGAATCCGCTTTCGGATCCTTTGAGCATCCACCACATCCCTTAAGAAGAAAGCGTTCTCCCTTACACCTGGAGTGTTGAACGTCTGACTGTAGCATCCGACTGCAACAACTAGCTTATCATAGCTCAGGTCAAACGTTTTGCCCTTTCCTGATGATTTCGAAGATGCATCCTTATCTGTCACACTATTCATCTCGCCACTCTTTGGCGGAACGACATTCCTGACTGCTTCTTCGACGCATATCCTCTTTTCGTGGAAGTTTACATCGTCAGCCCAACCCTGAAAAAACTCGACTTTGGATCGCCGCTGTCTCACAGACTCCACAGTTGTTCGGAACTCGAGCGTACCAACAGCTGTGGATGCCAGCAGAGGTGTGAAGGCGAAATATGTCCTTGGGGATACAACAACAGTCTGGAATTTCTTCTTGTCTAACTCTCGTGACAGGACAAAACCAGACCATCTAGTGAAATGTGAGCATATTGTCACGAGTTTGAAGATTCGAGGAGCGCTTACCCCGATCCTAATATGACAACTCTTTCGCGATCTTCAAACCGTCAGTGAGGAAGGAGGACCGAGTTGATTAACTTGCCTCCTTTCGTAGCGTCAAGTTCTTGTGTTGACACACCCCTGCAAAGAAGCCGTTTCGATGTAAAATTTGCCCGGAACGCACGGGAACAGTTTCTGGACGGATTTAACATAGAACTCATGTTTAGTGATGAGGAGACGGGGCAAAAAGAGCTTTTCCTCCTTTACTGAAGGGCAAGATCGATGATTAGAATATTAAAAATTCAGGGTGAGATTTGCGGAAATATGGAAAACACAGTCCGACTCCGACTTCCTCCGGGACGCCTTGACCCACGAGATTACTGTAGCGAAGATATGAGACTTTTCCCTAGCATCGATTAAGGATGAATAATTGAGAAAGAGAAAGAAAAGAAGTCCGGGTACTGAAGGCTAGCATAGAAATAAAGACCCGCCAAGCCAGCACAGTCAGCGGTTTAGTCAATGACGTTGCAAAAGTGTATATTTGCAGCAAAGATCTGTGGACGATTGACTTTATATCGAGTTTGGAATTGTTGTAGAAGAATAGAAGACATGTATATAACGAACACAATAGACATTCCCTTATATTGACTCTACATCGACAAGTTGATAAATAACAAGGCAAGGGGTGAGGTCAGACAACTTTTGATAAGACGAATGAACCCCTGAAGCGCAAGGCTGCGATCTTAGCGGCAAAACACGCCTCCGGGTTTGCTTTGCCTCTTCACGTCAACAACCAACCTCAAATGAATCTACCATGGCGCCCATCCGCAGATACCTGCGCATTACCCAGTACTCAGTCCTAGAATGCCGCATCTATGTCGATAACCCGGTACTGGCCGAGAGCTGGCTCCTGAATTCTAGAGACCCGGTTTTGCCTCGCGTCATCGAGAGTGTCCGTCCGCTGGTTCTGCCAAAGCTGCGCGAGGAAAAGGAGCGCAGTAAAGGCAAAGGGGGGAAGAAGAAGGGCGTGAAGGATGTTGTTGTAGAAGGTATGGGCAAATATATTTGCAGCAGGGTGTGTACTAATGTTGATAGAGGACTTTGAAGTCTCCATCTTCTTGACCGAGACAAGCACACGACATTCCCTCCTTACGAAGCAGAAGCATTTCCGAGATACAGGAAAGAAGAAGGGACTACAATCGAATTCGCAGAAGCTTACCGGAGCCACAAATGATACTGCCATCGATATCGAAGATGCGCCGGTCGTCCGGAGGGAAGAGAGTGAAGAGGACGAGCTGAACCTAGAGGATCTCCCCGCCGCAGAGGATGTAGAATCACTTTTCGTCGCCGACGATGAAGGGTCCCGTCGTTCGAAACGTCACCGGGCTTCTGTCAACATAGATTCATCATCAGAAAGCTCGGCTCTTTCGCCTCGGCCCAAACGCAGGAAGGAGGACGAAGACCATCCTACCGAGGAAGAGAATGATGACAAGAAGAAAATGGCCATGGAGACAACCTATGATGGCTTCTCAATCTATGGGCGAGTTCTGTGTCTGGTGGTTAAGCGCAAGGACAAGAGGGGCAAGCAACCGGCCATGAGCGGCGGGCAAGCAATGATGGAGGAATGGATCACTTCCACACAAATGCCACTTGCAGAGGACGATTGATCATTCAACCCAGAGCACCGCACCTTCCAGTATGGCAATTCCCGGCATTTCCGGGTTCATACATGCCATGCCACGCACGATCATGGGCTGAGTGATAGGCTGGGCTGGGGAATACAGATCCCACACCGTCTCCAAAGTGGAAATTTGGCCCTTGAAAGCGCTTATCATACGATATGTTTGATCACCGCAGATCGCCCATGCCACTGTATTGCGCCAATAACACATGTGACGTTACCCCGGGATGACGTGTGAATCAAAATATCTGGAGAAGAGCATGTTTGACCACCTGGTTGAGGGCCGATTATTATCTGAAACATGGACCCCACAGTTGCGGTCAAGCATGTCACATCACGATCTCGCAAAGTGCCTCTCCACCACGACGCGACGCCATGCACTTGAATGGAGGTTCAGGAAGGCCAACATACTTTGTCACAGGCCAAACTGTTACGCCAAGAAGACCACGGAAAGGGACCTTGCTTTGGTGCGTTTACCACCCTTCTTAACCCCGCTGCTATAGATTTCTTGGCGTAACGGTTTGGCCTGTGACGAAGTACAAAGTAAAAATATGGTTACGGCCCGTAGTGCCAGCAGGATGGGGTTGCATACGGACGTATTGCGTATTCGGGCTCCGAGGCAGGACGCCTGATCGACGGAGACAAAAAGGTTATGATCGCGAGCCAAGCAGGCGGCTCGGCGGTTAGTGAAACTCCCACGCTGATAATCATAAGCATGCACGGCTGAGATGATGCGCGTTTACTGGCCAAGGCTAGGATTGTTTACATGTTGATTACATCTCATCACTTTAAAGCATCCATGCTATTCTGAACAGCTGAACAAACAATAAACACGAGGTCTCTTCCAAGTCTCCCAACTCCATCCTTCAGACCTACCGTACATCCTACCGGTTCATCTATATCCGTGGATGTGAGTTCCCTATATGGCAACACATTCTCTTTTTCCTTTCCAATATTCCTGGGGCTGCATATCATACGCTCGATTACGTAGGAATAGCCGCCCGCCCAATCAATCAATAAATCCTTCCTTCCCCCAAAATACCTTACCTACCTGAACAATATGCAGCCTCGTCCGGCCGCCCACCAACCTGCATGCACGCTCCCGAGTATCATGGCAGCTCCTTCCCGCACGCCATCCGCTCTGCTCACCTCCGCTCTCCACCTGTGAATCAATTAGAATATCGAATATTTACCATGCTGTTCATTTATCCATCCGATCCATGTTTCCGGAGAAGCCAATCCAAAGGTGTGCCGCAAACCACCCAGTTAGGAATTCGTAGCCTCACGTCAGCCACCCGTCCTTTTAGAAATAAGTATCTGTCTTTATAGTACAGCACAGCTTTATCCAACCCCTGTCTGTATCTATTGATCGTGAACCCCTCATCTCCCTCCCCTCACCCTGTCCTGTCTATCTGATCTGTCATGGATAGTCCCTCACTCACCCACTGACCGCCTTTACTCGCATACCCCGCGCCCAGCATCTCAAGTGCCACGGTCCCTGATCTCACTCAGCAGCCTCGGTACATGCTACTCTTCGGGACTATTTCTTCCAGGGCTGAGCAGAGCCAGAGGTGCATCTGACTCACCTGTACACTTTATTCTCACAGGCACAGGCAGGCACGCCAAGGAAGCAAGCAAGCACGAAAACCCTATTCCACGTATACTCGGTAGAAATAGCACTTCGGTACTTGTACTTTGTCGAGAAAGAGAGAGAGAAAAATCTTAAGTCGTGCTGCTTATACTTTCTCTGATTGCTATAATTATATACCATTTAACCTCAAGGTTTGAGGTACTGTACCTGTGCCGTCCACCTTCACTGCCGTACCGTATCCGCATGCATGCACACGAACCTTCGTAGGAGTTAAGATATTCGATGAAAAGTAAATGGAAAATACCGAGTGATCTCATAACGGGTCCTTTGATTTCATTTCTTCACCGCCTTGACCAGGGGTGGCCAGGGGTAGGGGTAGGTGACATTTAGGGGAAGGGAGATCCTGGGAGGTGCCACGTGGGTAATTTTCTTTTGCGTTTGGAAACACGCTAATTGGAACTCGCCTGTGGATTTGGAAAGGGGAGATGAGAGAGATAGAGAAGCGAACTTTTTTTCTTTGAAAGTGAAAGAGACGAGAAGGGGGTTTCCGGTTTTCTACCATGTTGTATTATGGAGTAGGGCTGGGCTGCAGATGGAAGATTTGTAATAGAGTATTGGGTTTTATTGAAGTATTTAAGGGTGAAAAGGAGAGGTACGGAGTAAGTAAATATCGGGTATTGTTTACTCCGTAATGCAGATTTGGGTTGGTGCTACAGGTATGGTTATTAGCTTGAGGCGAATGTAGAAGTAAGGGGAGAGATGCGAGCTTGTATTATCAATTATTGTTATCCTAAAGCACTTTTAACTACCTACTCCGTAAGCACCACTACCACTAGAAATCGAACTAAATTTCAAGTTGAATTACCCGTGTTTGTCTGTCCCGCATGCCATGTCCACGTAGATGGGATGGGGATTTGAAGAGATGGACATGGCGATGCAATCTCGCCAGATGCCATTTAAGCAAATTACTTATAAAGTCCTACCTTAGCTCAGGGTCCAGGTCTCCGTATTTCGTATTTCGTACTTGTCCAGGAGGTACGTACGTAGGTATTTACTGTACGTACTCTTGTATGAAAACCCCGTGATGAAACCCGTCCGTCTGTCTCAGGAATAAATAAAAAGATTTGCCTGCCATCTGTTCTAATTGTATGTATAGGTACAGTATCTGCTTGTTTGACAATATGTGCGCGCGTGCGTGCGTGCGTTTGATGTTCGTGGTTTGATGGACTGGGAAAGGAGACAGAACAGACGCGTCTACTGTATGCCACGTCTCGGTACTCGTACTCGTAATTACATACCTGTACCGTACGGAGTATAGGGAGGTACCTAGTAAAGACTACTAGGTGCTTGAGGCTCCCTGCCTGCTCTGACGTATCTCGTAAGTACCGACACAACATTGCAGCCTAATCCGTACCGTACTGTACGGAGTACAATACGATGCTGCGTCCCTGCCCATCAAACCTTTCCTCTTCCCTGTCCAAAACGTGGCCATGGAACAAAGTGGATCTAATTTCCCAGCCTTCTAGAAGAAAAAAAAAAAAAAAGGAAAAAAAAAAAAGAGGAGGATTTGTTTATTTTTAGCAATCTTAAAACGAAATTGGAATTTAAAGAGATTTCCTACAAAATTACGCTAAGTGTGGCTGGGGTAGGGGAAGCGAGAGAAGGCTTCTGGAAGGGTGAGATGAGAGCAATGCAGGGAGGGGTCAGACATGGTGGAGAGATCTTCCTGTCCGGGGCAGGCGATAGGGCATTGTTGTCTGCGAGGTCCCAGGGGATGGGAGGCGAATATGCAAGCGCGACTGTCACTGATGGGGAGTTGGAAAGCTGGTATTACAGTACGCTGCAGGGGTTGGAGATGTACTGTACCTGTACTACCTTACCTACCTACTTGATAAAGATGGTTGCAAATAAAGTCAAACTGTAATCTATTGCGAGGAGGAATTTCGTGAGTGGCAAACTCGTCATCTTGAGCGAGCAGAGTAAGAGGTCCCGATCGCCGAGACGGTCTTGCTGCAACGCCGGCCGAGTAAGAGAGATTTTCGCCATGAAATTTCTGATCTTCAGGGCGTATTTACATATTATAAACCTGCTAACCAAAGGTCTTGTCGGTATCTCCGAAGAACTGAGAGTCTTGAATAGGAAAGTGTAGCCTTACACTCAGCAGGCTTAAGCCTTACCTTAGCTAAAGAATATTGCGGACCGCAATAAACGTCGGGTGAACGGTAGGTCGGTATGATCAAGAGGTATACTAAGCTTTTAAGATATAGCATAATCTGACCAAAAAGAATCCAAGTACGAGGTATATCTTAGGTAGTGATAATAAAGTCAGCTGCAAGATAGTTCCAAGAATTCGTCATGCTACGTAGTGTATCATTTAAACCGTAAATGGGAACAGGATTACTCTTACGCCGCACAGAATACCCCGTACGTACAAAGCTGAAACATAAACTCTATATCAAGCCAATATCAATTGTGGAGAGAGCAGACTCGACTAGGCCTGCAGCTGATCAAAACAGAGTAAACCTGGCGCAAAAGAGATGGAGAAGTAGAAACGGTTGATTGATAAAGTTTGGAGCTTTACGAGTCACGACAGTAATGGTTCAGCAGAGGACTTCACCGCCTTCGCTCCACACGGCCCGGACGGGATATTTTGATGCTACGTAGCACCAGCACCCGATCAGCATATGCTATACCTTCGTACCGGTAGATTTCGATGCAAGGAGAATTAGAGCCAAAGAATCCATGGAGCGTTAGACATTAATAAAGATGCCTATATTAAGGAATAAGACATGGACGTTCCAAGTACTTACTTCGTATAGACTAGAAAGCCTTGGAAGATCAAGCTTTTACCCTTACAGGAGGATCGTCCGATATATCTCGGCCCCTTTTATACGAGTAGCTTATCTACCATCGACAATAATCCTCGAGATCTGGGTAAATCTCGGGCAACACTCCACCGATTCAGGGCGAACAAGAGGGTAGTGCGAACAAAAGCAACTTCTGATTGTCGATTGTTGAGCTTTACCAGCCTGGTTCAGAGCGGTGTGGCATTTCGGGGTCACAATAGCAGGTAATGAGGAGCAAAAAGGGACCCAGTTTCAGACTTTTACTTAAAAAAGCGAGTAAATGAATGAAGCTTCTGAAGATCTGAGATGTCAGACATTGAAGTGACGCAGAGAATGATGCGAGGCAGGGGCATGAATAGTGAAGAGATGCAGGGTCCTACGCAGAATGCAAGATTATTAATTGAGCCTCAGCCTTGGCTTGGCCCTCCTTTCCGTGTGCAGTAAATACATACGAGGGAGATTGGGCGGCCGCATTATTGGAACTGGAAGGGGAGAAGGCCGTGATTATTCTGGAAACAAGGGAAATTGCGACTTGACAGAAGGCTCGGG